TAACCTTCTTATTCTGACACCTTTAACTAGCAGTGAAATGACAAAACCATGTACATGATCATTTTATAAATGAGGAGAAATAAACCCAGATCAAACAAATGGAACTCAGGGCTTTGGGATTTACATTTCATTTATTTTAAAACTGCTAGATTTCCATTTATGTCTAAGTGCATACTTTTGAAAAATCTACTAGGATATACCTATTCTTAACAACATAACTTTGTCAGTTGTACAAATACAATTCTCTGCCTTTGGCTGCCAGAAATCTACTGATAGGAGAGGGAAAAGGTAAAAAAAAAAGAAAGGGAAAAGGGAAAAAAAAGAGGGTGAAAGGAGAGAGGGGAGGAGCTCCCAGCCTTGCAACCCTGCCACTTCCACCCCTGTTGTGCAGGTAGCCCAGGAGCCCACAGACAGAGGCAGTACAACACCTGTAACAGCCCTGGGGACAGGAGGAAGAACTTGGCAAAGCAGTGTAAAGCTGGGCGAAAGAGCAGGAGTGTGGATATTGTACAGGTATGGGCATCAAATTATTTTGATGCCTTTGATTATTGGACTAAATTTAGAATCACTTGCCCTGCAGTACATCATTTTGCTGCCCATCACCACTGTAAAGCCTGTGTCAGCTTAGATATGCTAACAGAGGCCTCTAGCGGGAGGACAGCAAATGCCAAAAAATTGCTTTCTTCCAGTGTAGTTAAAATGACATGGCACAAAGCTGTCTCCATCAGTTGTGCCTACAGTGACAGTTCCGTGTGCTAGTGCTGTCGCTTTCTCTTTGTCCCATCTCTAGCAAATACTTGATGCCACACATGGAAAACCTGTGCAATAGCCAAGCTTGAGACCCTGAGGTTCACATATCTGAGGTTCATCACAGAGGATGGATGCACTTGGCAGTGCAGAGCTACAATAAGGTCACTCATTCACACAATCACAGAACTGGCTGTGGTTGGAAGGGACGTCTGGAGGCCATCTGGTCCAACCCCTGCTCAAGCAGGGCCACCAAGTCCAGGTGGTTTTTAAATATCTCCAAGGAGGGACAGATTTATTCCCAAGATGAGAGAGAAGAGAACTAGATGTGTGCAATGTGTGCACTGTGGATGCCCAGGATACTATGACAGGAGATGGGTGAGGTTTGCTGAGCTTTCAGCAGCAGGGCAGGGTGTGAAGATACTGGGTGGATAATAACAGTCTCACTGGAATGCTCTACAGCTAACCACTGACAAAATAAAATTTTAAAATATCCTTGTCCTAGTGTGTAAAGGATTTGAAGCATAAGCTCTGACATTAATCTCTAACATTATCATAATCTTCAGCATTAAACAGTTGCTGTTTTATTTCAGCTCTACAGGGATTCCTTAGAACTCCTTTCATCAGAAATGTCCTGGCTCTAGGCAGGCACTAGACAGGCACATAGAGCATATATTCGGCCTGCTTCTTTACTCCACTGTATCAGTTATTCCTGTGCAAAACCTATATAATAGAGAAACAAGCCTCCAACCACTGTATCTGAATTGCCAGGCCTTCTTCTGTTTTAGTACAGAAGAAAATAAATCACTGTTTCTGTTACTTAATTCTTATCTCCAGTGGCAAAGCCATTTTGGACAGGGAGCAGAAAAGGCAGTGTATTTTCAGCTTTTGTGATATTTGTTGCTTCTTGGATCAGAAGATTACACAGTAATCTCAACAATAAAATGCACTCCAAACAATAATAATCCTCTGATGTTGTAGCTGTCCAAGATCAGGGAAGAAAAACCTCCTCAGTGAAGACTTAGAAAAGAAATAGGAGGTGATAGATGGGTTAATTTGGATGTAATTTTATTCTTAAAAGGATATGCAGGCATAGCCTTGGATATGAACTTGTTTAAATAATGGTCTTTCCCAGGGCTAAGTCCAGTGAAAAACAAGCAGATACTTAGTGAAAAACATTATTTCTCTTCATTCTTGTTCATACTGCAAGATAATAGCCTATTTTATACACACACAACTATAAGGGCCACTCTCTCCCTCTGAACAAACATATGCTGATACTTGAATGGTTGTGGTTAAACTGATGAGAGAGCTCGAAGTACAAATTGTTGGCATTAAGAGGGTTTCTGAGCTGGGTATGTGCTTCTCACAGCTGTTATGTTTTCCATAGCAGGCATGAAATTTACCCTTTGAAAATACACTTCCTTTTTGAAATTGTTGTTGGCTTTGAGAAAAAAATAACATGTTTAAAGCTTTCTTTGTGCATGGTAAGGAAACACAAACAGGATACAAACTCATCTAAAAAAATTCTCTGCAGGTCACCTTTAAAAGCCTGCAATTTTCTGTAGGAGGACTGCTGTATTTTCTTCTATTAGATTCCCTCTGTCTCATGTTTTCTCAGCACTGTTATCTGCTATATGTGAGAAGGTTATCTCAGCAATATCACATCATATGGGGGACAAGATTTTTCCACAAAGTGACACACTGTCGCAGTACTAACAATTTTAGGAATCGCCTGAGCTGGAGTCAGATATTACTTTCACAGAATCACAGAATTTCTAGGTTGGAAGAGACCTCAAGATCATCAAGTCCAACCTCTAACCTAACACTAACAGTCCCCACTAAACCATATCCCTAAGCTCTACATCTAAATGTCTTTTAAAGACTTCCAGGGATGGTGACTCCACCACCTCCCTGGGCAGCCTGTTCCAGTGCCTAACAACCCTTCCAGTAAAGAAGTTCTTCCTAACATCTAACCTAAAACTCCCCTGGCGCAACTTAAGCCCATTCCCCCTCGTCCTGTCACCAGTCACGTGGGAGAACAGCCCAACCCCCACCTCGCTACAGCCTCCTTTAATGTACTTATACAGAGCGATAAGGTCGCCCCTGAGCCTCCTCTTCTCCAGGCTGAACAAGACCAGCTCCTTCAGCCGCTCCTCGTAGGACTTGTTCTCCAGGCCCCTCACCAGCTTCGTCGCCCTTCTTTGGACCCGCTCAAGCACCTCGATGTCCTTCTTGTAGTGAGGGGCGCAAAACTGAACACAGTACTCGAGGTGCGGCCTCACCAGAGCCGAGTACAGGGGGACGATCACCTCCCTAGCCCTGCTGGTCACACTGTTTCTGATACAAGCCAGGATGCCGTTGGCCTTCTTGGCCACCTGAGCACACTGATGGCTCATATTCAGCCGACTGTCCACCATCACTCCTAGGTCCTTCTCTGCCTGGCAGCTCTCCAACCACTCATCTCCCAGCCTGTAGCTCTGCTTGGGGTTATTGCACCCCAGGTGCAGGACCCGGCACTTGGCCTTGTTGAACTTCATGCAGTTGGCCTCAGCCCATCGGTGCAGCCTATCCAGATCCTCCTGCAGAGCTTTCCTACCCTTGAGCAGATCGACACATGCGCATAGCTTGGTGTCATCTGCAAACTTACTGAGGGTGCACTCAATGCCCTCGTCCAGATCATTGATGAAGATATTAAAGAGGACCGGCCCCAGCACCGAGCCCTGGGGGACACCACTAGTGACTGGCCTCCAACTGGACTTGACTCCATTTACCACGACTCTTTGGGCCCGGCTATCCAGCCAGTTTCTAACCCAACGAAGCGTGCGCCAGTCCAAGCCAAGAGCTGCCAGTTTCTTGAGGAGAATGCTGTGGGAGACGGTGTCAAAAGCCTTGCTGAAGTCAAGGTAGACCACATCCACAGCCTTTCCCTTATCCACCCAGCGCGTCACTTTGTCATAGAAGGAGATCAGGTTTGTCAAGCAGGATCTGCCTTTCATAAACCCATGCTGACTGGGCCTGATCACCTGCTTGCCCTGCAAGTGCCGCGTGATGACTCCCAAGAGGATCTGCTCCATGAGCTTCCCTGGCACTGGGGTCAAACTGACAGGCCTGTAGTTTCCCGGGTCTGCCCTCCGGCCCTTCTTGTAGGTGGGCGTCACATTTGCTAGCCGCCAGTCAGCTGGGACCTCCCCCGATAGCCAGGGAACTTTAGTTTTGATGATCATAGAATCACAGAACTGTTTGGGTTGGAAGGGACCTTGCCATGGGCAGGGACACCTTCCACCAGACCAGGTTGCCCAAAGCCCCATCCAGCCTGTCCTTGAACACCTCCAGGGACGGGGCACCCACAGCTTCTCTGGGCAGCTTGTGCCAATGCCTCACCACCCTCAGTGTAAATAATTTATTTCTAATATCTAATCTAAATCTCCCCTCTTTTAGTTGAAAGCCATTATTCCTTGTCCTATCCTTACACCACCTGACAAAGAGTTCCTCCACAGATTTCCTGCAGGCCCCCTTTAGGTACTGGAAGTCCACTATAATGAGACAGGGAACAAGATAAAGGATGTTGATTCTGTAGGTCTTGGCTAGCACAATTGTATGTTAACGACGCAAAGATAAGAGAATAAAAGACTGTATGCATAGATAATGGAACCAACAAGAACTGGCTTGACTGCTGATGTCTGTCAAAGACAGGAAAGGTCAGAAGTTTAGCAGCGAGGAAGACTTTTGGCCTTCATCAAGAGACCACCAGAGTATGCTGGATGACCACCCAAGGACCCCAGTACACATGCAAATAGGGGCAGGAACCTACATTAATGATTCTTCTTCGGAGACCTGATGAATATGCAAAAGACTTACGGGAAATGAAATTAATATGTATTTATCCCACTAATATAAACACACTGCCAGTAACCCCTGGTGCACAAGCTAGGTGGACTGTGGTGGTTTTACCATGCTGGGCAGCTAAACCCCACAACCGCTCTCTCACTCCCCCTCCTTTAGATGAGGAGGGGGAGAAGTAAAGCAAAGAACAACTCACGGGTTGAGATAAGGATAATTTAATTAAAGGGAAATAATAATAATAATTAAATAAAGATTATTATGAACTAAACAATTTAACTAAGGGGAAATAAAAAGGGAAAGGGGAAAAGGGAGGGGAAAAGGGAAAAAATAAAAAGAAGGGAGGAAAACAAACAAAATAAATGAAGGCCATATGGAAGTGCAGAGGAAAGAAATTACTCTCTACTTACCACAAATGAGCGATGATTGACCATGTCCTTGAAGCAAGGCCTCAACGCACGCAGCCGGTGTTTGAGAGGAGGACTGACATTTTCTCAAAAGCCCACCCCTCCCCTCTTCTTCCTGTTTCCACCTTTTATTGCTGAGTGTGACATCACATGGTATGGAATATCCCTTTGATTGGTTTAGGTCAGCTGTCCTAGTGATGTTTCTCTCCTCACTTTTTGCCCACCCCCTAGGAGGATTAGAGAAAGGCCTGATGCTGTGCCAGTGCTGCTCAGCAGCAGACACAACACTGGTGTGATAACACTGCTGTTCCAGCTACAAGTGCAGAGTACGGCACTGTATGGGCTGCTGCCAGGAAAGTTAACATTCCAGCCAGACCCAGTACATGGACTTATCCCCCTTGCACCCAGAGTGTGTGTGCAGCACCGAATATACATACCTGCTTTGTAACCATCCTGAGGTTATAGAGTCTAATTTCTGCAAATCATAAGGTCTTCCTGGAGCCTTCTCTTCTCCAGGCTGAACAACCTGTCTTCAGCCTCCCTCAGCTTGTCTTCATAGGACAGGTGCTCCAGGCCTTTGATCATCTTCAGGGGCTTCAAGTGGTCCATGTCCTTCTTGTGCTGGGGGCCCCAGAGCTGAACGCAGGGCTCTAGGTGGGGTCTCAAGAGAGAGATCTGTCCTTAGTGAAGCCATGTTGGCCATCTCCAATCACCCTTTTATTTTCCTTATTTTCCATGATGATCCTAAGTAGTGTTTTACACTGTCTAGCAGGACAAGTTAAGGAAAAACAAACAAACAAACAAACAAAAAACCTTAAGATGCTTAAGACCTAAAAATGCCACAGGGAACAAACTGTGGAGATACACATTTGCATACAGGTGTGCTTTAAAAATATGTTAGTAAATAGCTATAAAAATATATCTGACCGTTCCTTTTTTGTACCCATATTTCTTCTCTGGTAGAAGTTCAAAGCAAGATCTAGCTGCAGAAACAAAATGGCTGATAAGAGAGTTCTTTCTTGCTTTTCTGCACAGGACAATCTTCCTCAGCTCCAACATTTTGGCTGTCTTGTCATGCAGATCTCTTCCTAAAATGCAAGTCTGCAGCCAGAGCTATCAATGGTAACGTCTCAGTAAACATTCCAAAGGGACATTTACCTGTGCTTTTACCTTTACATTTGTTTTCTAAGAGTTGGCTATCTAGTTTAAATCAGTTCTCCAGGGAACCTCTCCAATCAGTGGAGGTAGTCAAGCATCTTCGAAGAACAAAGATGCACATCTTAAGATGTGTGTTTAGCACAAATAACATGAACTGCTGTGTAGATGTGCCCTGGCAGCCCTCTAAAGGTGAGGTCAGCTTGCTTAGAGGATCTCAACTTTCACATGACTGCAGTTCGTGAGATAAAGCCCATAAATGCATTGTGGCACTGGGGCTTCCTGCAAAATGTAACGCCCAGTTTCACTCCTCCTTTGTGTGCAAAGTACCTACAGGGAAGAGCCACTTGCCTGGGGGACTTTCTACAGGGACTGCCTCCTTTGTGTGCAAAGTACCTACAGGGAAGAGCCACTTGCCTGGGGGACTTTCTACAGGGACTGGAGAATGGCAGACACATCCAGGGAGTGAGCCATACCCCAGGGCTGTGGATGTGACAAAGGCTGTCCAGACCACCCAAGATCTGCTGAGGCACTATAGCTGGAGCCACGAGTGAGCCTTTTCCATTTCAGGCAACCTGGACAAGCAGTTAGCACTGCATGGGATGCACCCTACCTGAAACCCCCATGAACTGTGGGTTTCCACGTGTGCTGTACAGCAATGTCATTGCTGCAAGATAAACAATACCCGATCATCAGCTCACATGGCAAATCTGTAATTGTCTGAAATAGTAGCTCCTGGAGAGTTTTTGTAGAAGAGCAAACCAGATGTTGGCTTTATGGGTGTGATAAACTTTTAAAAAATCATAGCACAATAGGATTTCAGCTGTTAGCACAGACTCTGCTAAGTCATCCACATATGTCCATGGAGAGAATTTGTCCTTAATGACTACACTTCTGCTTATTTTTAAGTGGCAGCTTAAAAACATTAGATCAGAAAGAAGACCCAACTGCTCCCTTACTATGTTTATTAATTTCAGTGCGGAGACATTTTAATGCTATTTATTTATTTATTTATTTATTTTCAGAAGCCTGTGCACCATATTGCCCAATATTTCTGTTTGCAGTACTGTGGTATAGGGAGATAAGCAGGGAGCAGTTTGTGTGTCAAACAAAAGCAGCTGGAGTGTTTCTGGTCCACAGCTTGTCCTGGAAAGCATCAAAGTATCCAAGCTGAGTATCTGACGAGCAAACCAAGGGTTTGATTAACCCTGTAACCTTAAGTTGTTTTTCCTACCCACCCTACAACCTCTGCTCACCTGTAATGCCACCCTCAGGAATAAGTAGGCTCAGCTGAATGAAGAAATACCCTTCCTTCACCAGTCTCCTTTAGTCCAAGTCCTAGGACTAGTCCAAGCCCTGCTCTGAAGTGCAGTTCCTTGGTTATTTCTGCTATTTCTAATTTAGCTGCTGGTATCTCAGTCCTGTTAACTCATTGCATAGAAAGGTCAATCAATACTGTTGCTAAACTTGACTGGCCTCACTGTGCAAGGATGCAAGGCCAGATTAGCCCAGTGTCTCAGCTTCACTCTGTAAAAAGCTCCTAAATCAAAATCAGATCCCCTCCTTCCTCTTCTCCCCCTCCTTCCCCCTAGTCTGCATCTCCTTATCAGGCTATCCATAAAGTCCTGCAGGAGATGCTCACCGCAAGGCACCTCCTGTTCATTCATTCCCTTTCATCCCTAAGGTAAAACAGGGTTCTACTAAAACCTAAGGAAAACATAGGCATAAAGAGAAATTATGACTAAGAAGCAATGTAATTCATATAAATGAATCATACCAAAATCTAGTTTTCTCTCAGACAGAACAGAGATTTCTATGCTTCTAAATAATATCCTTACAACATTTACATGCCATTTCATATAGATTGACTTCTGGGCTCTCCTTTGGGTCACCTTGGACATTTTCCAGTCACCAGTGATTTTCATATGCTTGCCTACACTCTGATTTTTTTTAGTGCTAAGGTAACAATATGAAGGTAAACTTGTTTCAAAGGAACATTAAAACCAAATTTATAACAGCATGTGATGTTTAACTGCTGGGAGGTGAAGATCTTGTATATGTTAAGTTTACTGGAAATCTCAGAGCTAAGCGATTTCTGCCTATTAGTTATGACAGCTCTGGGAATATTTAGATTTTGAATCAGAGCTTAGGCAGGTTCAGTGACATGAATTTTATCCTGAAAGGAATATTATTGTACTACTGGCAAAGAGTGCTGGCTGGTTTCTACACAAGAAAAACTTCATTTTAATAAAAAATGTACAATAATGTGCTGACTAGGCGAACTTCTCTGTTGTGCTGAAAGATTGTATAAGGTTTATGCAAAACCTTATTTTGAGGATGTATAAAGACCTCAGAATAGGATGTGAGGGGGTGTGTATACATATATGGATTTCATCCTCAAAACACTATCCTGATAAAGGCAAGAAAAAACTGGGAGTATTGTGCCCCAGTTAGACTGTTAAATTTTCACAGTAATACATATAGTTACCAACTAAAAAAACATCTCTTGTTGTTGAGATTGCCATATATTGGAGTTAGAGATAAGGAGGTTTTGTCAAAGTGAAACTAGGATGTATAGGTAGGTAATTATAAGCTAGTGTGGCTTCCACATTTTAACCAAAGGCAATTCATCTATTTCTTGGAATAAAGGGAGCCACAGTATGGTAAAAATAGTTATTTACTCCATGTTAAGCAATTTAGGTGAATTAGGAGCTTTAGTTTCCAATGGCTTGAAGCAGAACTAACAGTCTGGCACAGCATAAGTGTGGTCCTACTGATCTGTCTTTGGCTTTCTCTGTGAAATGCTGCCCACAGCAGAACAAGCTGTTAGCCTGAATTTGAAAGGAAATGAGGCTTATTCAATTAAGGTATCTGTCAATCCTTTCTTAATAACTTTTGAACCAGATGGCCAGTAAAAAAAAAAAAAAAAAAAAAAGGGAAAAAAAAGAAAAGTCGAGGGGACAGAAGTCTCAGCACTCTGAAATTCCTAAAAGCTTTCAGAAAAGAAACAAATATGAAAAGAAGGGAGAAGTAAATATTGGGTACCCATAGGAGAGGGCAAGTACCTACTTCATTTGGCCTGCAGGCAGCCCATCAGCAGAGGCACACTCAGCCAGCTAGCATCCCAGCAGCTCATGACCAGCCAGAGTTCATTCCTTCTCTTGCCTTGCAGAGGAAGGAAGGTGAGGACAAAGAAGACTTAAGGGACATGAGGGGGAATATTTCCAGAAAATATGAAGTGATAGGGACTGTGAGGGAGGCCAGTGCTCTTGCAGGTGAGGGTGGAGGGAATATGTAGTAATACAAACACAATTATATAGGAAATGACATTAATTAGTTCTTCTGCTAGTGTGGCTTCCTGCTTATTAAACATAATTATCCCGGTATCACGCATAAGACTTTTCACTGAACTGACATTTGGCAAGAAGTTCACAAAAGATTGGGATATGTAAATACATATACACATGCATACACACACGTATGCATTTAGCTCTGATTAACCCTACTTTACCTGAGCCTTAGGTATATGAAGATATTTCTGGTGGCAATAAGAGCAGTACTTTAAGCAAAGGGAAGACTGAAAATAAGAAGTAAAAAATATCTTTTTCTTTTCTCTTTTTCTTTCCTAAGTGTCAGAAGAAACTTTGGCTTGCAGTATTTAGATTCGAAATACTACTTGTAGTTTTCTCCATATATCGCTGTGCCCATAAAAGGCTTCCAGCAAATTTAAGTTGATTCTAAAATACCTACAATATTATCAGAGCCAAAAATTCCTTTATATTTTGCATCACCTCAATGGAAGGTGAACCTGAAAAATGTTCAGTAATGTAATGGATGAGTTTGCAGACCTACAAAGAAGGGAAAGCAGTACAGCAATGCCAATTTATTTTATTGCATCCTTTATCACTGAGCATACATACCTGAATTTCTCCTACTGCTTTCACATTGGTGCTATTTCTATTAG